ATTGGAAAAAACATTTTCTGCTTCTTATTCCAAGTCTCCCTAATTAAACTTCTATTTCTAATTATTAGCATATTTAAAACAACCAGCAAAATATCATGGAAAATATTTTCTGTATTAACAGAAATTCTCTAATTCTCCAGAAATCATTTTAAGACATTTAAAACAAATACTCCAATTTAGCTTGAGTGGAAATTAGATGCGTTTTTTCAGATGACAAAAGAACTAGGAAAATGTGAAAGTAAGTCACAAGTATTTTCAGACATAATACAAATGGATTTTCTCAATTTTTAAAAATGTTGGTAATTTAGTAGGAAAGCAGTGAATTGTAAGTGTAAATATGACCCAAGCACACATGGGACTTCTGGTAGCTGTTATAACACAGGCCTCTCTGAAACACCAGTTTGGACACCAGAATTCAAACATGGGTCATGGCCAAAAATGATGACCAGAATTTTTCGACTGAGAAGTTTTCCACACATCAGGAGAAGATTCTATGGTTTTGCTCACTGTAGTCTTGCTTTACATATTTTACAAGAAAAACAAAAACCAACTTTTCTCCTGAAATCTGTCCTCCAGATTCTCTTGTATTTCTGCTGCTCGAGGAATCCTACTTTACTGTCACTCTATAAAGATGATGTGTTTCAATATAAATATTCATGTGTCATTTCAGAGTCATCTGCCAAGACATTCTCTTCTACTACTGCTGTTCTGCCTGCTGTGTACACTTATGGGAAACTAGGGGCAGGATAAGCCCCATCTTGGGTGTTCAGAGATGTGACTTCAGACCATCTGGGGTTTCCACTCAGCCACAGGGGTTACTGGAATTCCCTGTGTTATGTCTGACTAGTTCTACAAGTCCCCATCTTGAGTTTTGACCTTGAGCATGGAGCCTGGCTCTGGGTCTTGCTATCCAGATCCTTCTATTTCTAGAGTCAAAGTAACTTACTCTTTTGTCCTTCATGTTGGACCTGGTCTTTGCCATATTATTCCTTTCATGAATTTCTTCCAATCACACTCTCTTATTGGTGCAAATAAGTCTCAGAGCTAAGTACTACTGGAAGAACACGTACTGATTTAAATTTTCGAAGTCTTATCCATGAGTGTGTCAGATATTGAGATAGGTTCTAGAAAACCCAGAAAGTCCCTGCTTTGAGAGGTAATAGTTTACCAAGCTGGGGACTAGGAGAGAGAGTCTGTAGTTGACAGCAATGAAAGGAGGACTTTTCAGTTATAGCATTTGAGTTGAAACTGAAAGGAGTTTATCTAAATTTGCATTCTAGGCCAAAGGAAAAGCGTGTTCGGAAGTGCAGGGGACACAATGGGGCATGCGGAGCATTGACAATGAGTTCAGTATGGCTGGCACCTGAAGCATGAGGTAGGGCTTCGTCATGAGGTTTCTGGCCTGTGGTATTAGAAACCTACAAAGAGTTTGAAACAGATCAAGTTTGCAGGAGTGGGAAGACCTTTCTGACACACGAGTGCAAGGTGAATTAAAGGTAAGGGGTTGGAGTAGGGCAGAGAGAATTAGACTTGGCAAGACCAGAAGAGGCTGCTGAGTGGCCAGCTGTGTGCTGATGTGACATGAATGTTTTAGTAAAATGGAATCAATAGTTTTGGGGACTCATTGTGGAAGTTAGTCAAGAGTGAGGAAATATAGTTAATAACAACATATTCAAAAATAGCTAACAGATGGTTTTACGTGGTTTTATTACAAAAAATGACAGATATGTGAGGTGATAGATATTTTAATTAGCATGGTGTAATCATCCCACAATGTAGCTCAACATCAATCATCAATGGTATCAAAACATCACATTATACCTCTTAGGTGCATTCAATAATTTATCAATTATGGGTAAAAATTTAAATAAATAAATGAGAAAATAGAAAAACCCCCAAATTTTATGTTCTCTGCCCCCGAAATAAAATGATAGGAATGAACTGACTTCTGGTTTATGCCTCAGACAACTTAGTTGATGCCTACCTTTTTTCCCTTTAATATTCAGAATAAGAAAGGGATGTTGGGGCAGATAGGGTAGAATAGAAAACATAGATGAGTCTGCCCTTGGATCCAGCGGCAGATGGAAGGTCAATAGCAACCTTAATGTTTATGCTTTTTTTTTTTAATATTATTGCCTACTAAAATAATTTAATGGTAAAAAATGTAAACTTCAGATGCAGCTAAATCCGAACCTCACCTCTGTTTAGTTTCTACTAGAATGTAATTTTAGAAAGATTTTAGAATTTATCTGAACCTTAATATGCAAAATGGATGCAATTATTACTTGATACGATTGCCACAGGCTAATTATTGTAATGCTTTCAGCAGAATCTTATATAATAGGTATAAAATATTATTACTATTATTAATAAAATGGAAATTTGTGTGATTTTAAAGAAGATTTTGGTATTTAAAAGAATTTTTCTTTAATACAGCTATACATGCCTATGATATTTAGGACTCTTCATCTGTATGTGATAGGAGCCAGAGCAAAATCATTTTAGGAAAAACAGAACCCCTGGCTCCCTCACCAGTTACCACACAGTAGATTTCAATTTGGTTTCCACACATCAAGGGACTCCGACAATGCAGTCAGATCTCTTTGGCTCTCAGTCTGGCTCTAACTCCCCCTCTTTCTCGTTCTGCTCTGCTCCTTGTAAGGTGGTCTCCTTCTCCCCATGCAGATATGCTGTGTGACTGAGGAAACGCTCACTGCTGGTACCAGGCTTTCATCATTTCCACCTGACACAGCAGGAAGATGACTTCCATCTCCTAGCATCTATGAGTCAATCTGTGGGGATCTCATCCTGCACCCCCAGTCACAGTCCAGCCGTCCATTGTGCATAATGAATGAACCTGTCTCTTCTGCTCCTAGAATGATGATGCCATTTGAGAGAGCATTGTCAGTATGTCTTCAGGAACACTGACTTGCTGGCTTTCCTGGTGAAGAGTGTCTGTGCCCAAGCCTCCCCCAGCACTCCCAGGCACGCCCACCTTCCCTGGCATGGAACCAGCAGGACTATGCCACGTGTGTTTTCCTGGCTGATTTCCCAGGTCCTCTTCTTGAGCTCTTTACTGAAGTACTTCAAAAAATGGGGGGAGAACTTTGAGATTAGAGAAATGATAATATCTTCCTGGTTGCTGGGGTTTCATCCATGTTCTGCAAGAGAATGTCCCTGGGTGACACTGTCAGAGCTGCTACAAGGCTCATTTTTCAGCTCCAATGTGACATTTCTTATGTTTCCATATAATGCTTCTTAGATTAAGATCCTCAGACAGTAATCATTGTCTGCATGATCGTCTTTGAAAACAAAGGGTAATAATACAAGCATCCAATGCCCCCAATCTGAGCTGCTCTGTTTGCTCTAAGTAGTGTGCACCTGCTGAGGTGTGAGCTGCTGAAACCAACTTCCTTTCAGGGAGTACTATGATTAACTTTCCTCCAGCAATGAAGGGGCCCCCATTTCATTCTACTTCCAGGGCTGTGCATGGGCCTTCATTTTCTCTTGAACGTGCTTGTGTGTGATATGTTTTTACTCAGAAAGCCTTTGCCCCTTTGATTTTGTTTTAAAGGCGGCAAGGCCCATTAGAGGTGGGCTGTGTGGATCTTGCTGATTCCTTGGTGAAAAGCAGTCATTTCTGCTCAGTTCTTTCATTGAAACTTACACACATTTTAGGATGCTGTAGACCAGATTTTGTTGTCCCATTAATGCCTTCATTTTGTACTAAAGGACTGAATTTTAGATGGAAGAAATCCAAGTAGAAGGTGAGATCCTACATATCAGCAGGTAGCAAATTTTGGCCTGTTTTATTTCTGAAGAGCCTCATTTAAAGAGGAGAAATCACCTGTAATCCGTCTATGTAGACTGAGAAAAGCTGACAAAATGAATCCAATAATAGACTTTCTCATACATATAATAGACCCTCTTTTTGTGTAAAATATCTAGCTAATTTGAACTAAAGCTTTTGTGTGGATATTTAATTATTCAGATAATTACCTTAATTTGCCAATGGAAATACATCTACACCTAAATGGAGTTAAGGTTGGGAATATAGCTCAGTGCTTTTGATTTTGTTTTATTACTTTACTCAGAACATTGGTTTGTTCAATCTTCTATTGTTCTCCACACTTTTCTTCCAGCCTAATTTATTTTTACAGCCCCAGATTGCACCTCTGTGTGAATAAAGTCTAAACTATGGATAATTTCAGTTCTATTTACTCAGACATAAATTCCCATCTTTCTGGATGCCTACTGGACATTTCTATTTAAGGGATTCATCATAGTTTCAAACTCAATGTCTTTAAAATCCAGCTGGTAATCTAAAATCACACTTCATTTTTTGACCCCAAACCCTCTGCCTCCCTGCCCTGTCTGTGGTACCAACATTCCCTTTTCTTTCCAGCTACTGCCCCTTCATCTCCTATTCATTTAAGCAAAGTAACTCTAAGTGTTGCCCATATTTGTAGTTTTCAAGTGCTTTGAATTCATACTACCACTCTAGGGAGAAAGCTCTTACCAGTGACTACCTATGTATTTTTTTATAACTTCAAATCCATGCAAATGTTGAATTCTTCAGACTGATTCTTGAGCACTAGCAAGCGTTTGGCCTAGCAGTTAAGATGCCAGTTAGGATGCCCATGTTCCATATCTGAGTACCTGGACACAAGCTCGTGATTCCTCAATCTTGCTAATATGGATCCTGAGAGGATCCTGAGCAGAGATGGGTCAAGAAAGTAGGCTCCTGCCATCAATGTAGAAGACTATTGTGGGCATTTGGAGAATGAGCCGATAGATAAAAGCTAGTGTTTCTCTCTCTCTCTCTGCCTTTGAAATAAATAAAAGCTTTTTAAAAAACATAAATATATTATGACAAAAAATTTGAAATTCATGTATATGAGGGGGTCTTTAAAAAATTCACAAAAAGTGTATATCATGAAAAGCATTCATGAATTTCAAAACTTTTTTGCATTAAAAATAAACTTACCTTTTAATTTCACCTCCCATGAACTTTTGGATGTACCTTATTTCTGCAACCTGAAATGCTTCTTCAAATTCCAGATAGCTCTACTAGGATGCTCAATAGACATCTCAAACGTTATGTCCAGAAATGAACTTATGATCCTCCAGAATTCTGTGCCATCCAGTCTTTTCCATTTCAATAAATCCATTCTTCTAAGTGCCCTGGACCAAAACTTGGGAGTAATCAATGACTCCTCTCTTTCCTCTTCTTACCAACTCCCATACATCAGTAAATTCTGCCATTTCTACATTCACAAGCAGACTTGCCTACATAATTTGTGAGGACTAGTGCAAAATGAAAACATGGGACTCTGTGGGGCCCGCGCGGTGGCGCACTAGGTTGGTCCTCCACCTGTGGCGCTGGCATCCCATATGGGCACCCGGGTGCTCCTCTTCCAGTCCAGCTCTCTGCTGTGGCCCAAGAAGGCAGTGGAGGATGGCCCAAGTGCTTGGACCCCTGCACTCGCATGGGAGACCAAGGAAGGAATGCTCCTGGCTCCTGGCTTCGGATCAGCATAACTCCGGCCGTGGTGGCCATTTGGGGAGTGAACCAATGGAAGGAAGACCTCTCTCTCTCTCTCTCTTTCTCTCTCTCCCTCTCTTACTGTAACTCTACCTATCAAATAAACAAATAAAAATCTTAAAAAAAGAAAACATGGGACTCTGCTTTAAACTTATTAAGAATTTCAAGACTGTGGCAACAGAGCATGAAACTATGGGCTGACCCCTGTGTAACTGCCTGGGACACCCTCCCACGCAATTTTTCCACACCATGCTTATGCCAGCTACTGTGCATCTCACCTGTTCTGCTCTCATGGGACTGAACTGTTTAATTTATTTCCTACCAGGTTCACCTGTATGCTCAATGGTCCTCCAAATTTATTCTCAACTGAGCAGACAGAGTGACCTATGAAAATATCAGATAGGTCATCTTCCTCCTTAAAGTTCTCCAGTGACTCCCATTTACCTCATGGTAAGTCGACCCACCCTTTCAGATTTATACTATCAAGTCACACCCCAATAATTATGTACGCTCTAAGCCTTCTCACAACACTCTCTCCTGATTGTGACCTATGTGTGTACCCCAAGAAGGACAATCTTTATGAAACATGGTTTTCATCACCTCATTTCCTGGTGTATAATTCTTATTTCACTATATTTCAAGTAAAGCATCCCCAGGCTCTCGAAAGCCTTCACCATCTACTCCCACCTCTGCAGAACATCCCTTGCTCATTCATATTTTTCAAGGCATTCTTACACGTGCTCCATATCCATCCCTAGTCTTGCTAATATCAAACCCCTTTCAGAAAGCTGTCCCATTGATCGATGCCTGTCTTCGTCATCCATCCTACTTTGTTCCTGAAGCCTTCTTAGACTAGCCCAGCTCTCACTGATCTACCTTGCATTCTAACATCGATTGAACTTAGATTTTTGTATTACCTACGTTCACACAAAAATTTCAGTGGACTTGGTCACAGATTGTTTCACTTAATTAGCATGTTTTGGGCAGGGTTCATATCATCTCCATTGGCTTATCCATTGCAATGTGAATTGCAGGAAAGTGCTCAACATATGTTAGTTTATTGACTTATTCTAAGCATAATCTTGGCTTATTAATAGTTGTTGATTTATTAGTCATGTTACATGGGTTATCAATAAACTAGTAAATATTAAACAATCCAGAGCAGGATTATTATCATTAATTGAGCCCTTGGTAAGCACTTTGCAAAGGATTTTGCAGAGGTTAGTCATGTAAGGTTCACAATAACCCTGAGTTAGACATCATCATTCTTCGCATTTCAGTTACAAGTAACCTGAAGTTCAAAGAAACTCCTTCAAGCTACAAAGTGAGGAAGAGGCAGAATGAGTTTCAGATATAAATATTCTGGGTTTTCAGCCTATCCACTGGGCTGATTTCCCTCACAGTCATTTTTTTAAACTGTAAAATATTAAGGACCTAGATTACCATCATAATTTCAACACAGAGTTGCCTACATTCTTTGCTAAACAAAAATAATGTATCTCCCCTTTTGCTGTATCAGAGAACCACAGTGGCTTTCTACTCTGTTTTTGTCAGATATCAGCAAGAAAAATAGGCGAATATTCATCCATTTTCTGAGTTGTGCCCACTTTATAAATAGCTGTTGGCAGACCAGGGGGCCCACATGGTGAGTGCTTGGTGCTTTCAGTCATTCCACCACTGGGACACAAATTTCAAGGATCTGCCAGTCTTACAAATTAGTTTCAGAAAGACTTGTTTTCAAATAGTTGAGTTTAAAAACATTCTAAATTACATTTACTACAGTTTGTTTTAAAGCTTTTTCTCTGGCCTATCTTTCTGGGTTGCAGCTTAATTTTTCACTGTCTCATTTTAATTTCTCTCTTTTTCCCAGATTTTATCCTCTCATTCATTATTCTTTGTCTCCTCTCCGTTGCTGGCTTTTCTTTCTGCAGCTGGGCTTTGGTTCGAAGGGGTGGACGCAGCTGCCCAACCATTTTCACATTCTTTACTGATATGATTTTCTTGAGGTAAAACATCATTTAAGGAGTATTACTCGACAATTAAGTGTTTCTGTCTTCTTCAGATTTTGTGTCTGAAAGTCTGCCAATAAGACTATCTGCAGTTGTTTGTATTGGTTCAGATTCCTTCCTGTTAGGCATTATTTCATTTGTTCTGCGCTTGTTTGCCTTTATGTAATATTTTGTTACAGCTTTAACTTCCTGTTTCTATCAAATCTTCACTGCTGACTTAGGGCGACTGTAATTTTTATTTTTTGGGAAGGGGCACCTCACTGAATACATTTTTAATTGCTTTATAACATTACTTATTTGAGACACATGCACACAGACATACACTCACAGGGTTAAGAGGATAAGCAGATAGAACTCCCGTTTGCTGGTTTACTCCTTAATTGCTTGTAACAACCCTCAGCTAGTGCTGATTCTAAGCGCCTAGAACTCAGTAGGGGTCTCCCACATGGCAAAAGGACTCAACCACTTGAGTTGTCACCTGTTGCCTCATAGGACGTGTATTAGCAGAAAGATGGAATTGAATGCTGGGATTCAAACTCGGGCGCTTTAATATTGGATACGGGTGTTCTACAACTAGCGTGCCAAATGCCCAATCCTTAACCTCAGTTTGATAGGCTATGTTTTTATAGAATTCTGGTGCAAGTTTATAGCCAGAAGTTGGACTTCTTATCCTTTGGGGGCTTTTCCTTGCCCCCTGAACTCTTGGTTTGAAACATGGACAATTTTTGTTGGTCTGATTATTTAAAGGCAAAAAAAAAATTGTGTCCATGAGGATGTGATTTGCAGAGGAAAACTTTATAATATCTGGTCTTAGTATTATTTCTAATGAGAATATCTCTTTATCTTTCAATATTCTAGACTTTTTCACAGTAGCATGTTAGCTGAGTTTTCCATGAATTCATTAAATGTTTAAATATCCAGTTTTTTGCCAATTTATTGGACACCCCTATGTGTTATGCCTAGTTTGTTTTACCTTCAGATAAGCAGGGATGTATTTGGGTACTTGAATCAAATGCTGTTTCTTAATATTTACAGAGGGGGAAAGGATGGGATGAGTCCAAAGCTTATATCAACCTTGGGTACCACAACAGTCTTCCTCAGTCGTAGAGACTTCTGTCACGCCAGCAACCTTGGCTGCTGAATTACTGGGAGGCTTGGGTCTCAGTAGAGGGCAGAAGTGGGTGCATGGGGGTCTTGAGGAAGTATGAAATTATCGCAATACTTTGATAAGTAGCTATATGTTAATCTGGGGTGAGAGTGTGCTCTGGCTGATTTATTTTTAAGTCGAATGCGATCATGCGTTCCAATTTATATAGTGTGTCAGCTAGATCCACAGGGAGTATTGGGATGGCAGTGATTTTCCACAGAGGGTCCTAGAGAAATGCTGTGTCTGCCCAAGTGTAGACTTCTATTAGTTGGGCTTCTCAATTCTATGACAGTCAAAGTTTGCTTTTGTCTATTGAAGGAAAATGTTTTATATTTCAGAATTCACTGAAATTGTGATTGAATTTTGGCTGTACCAGTTATTAACTCTAATTTTGGGCAAATTTTTAATAACTTTGTTTTGCACCCTCCTTCCTTGTCAGTAAAAAGGATCCAGTGAGCTCTAACTTTCCTTCAAGTTCTAACAGTCTCTAATGATGTTTCAGTACGAACAAAAAGACTTTTCCGCTGACATTTAATAGAAGATTGAGTAAAAATCAACTTATCTTGGAGTCGTACAGGAAAAGTCAGAGTGACAAACTTCTGGGCAGATAAACAATCCCTGAAAACTACTTATTTATTACTTTCACTTTACAACACTTTGTTTGGAGACTGTTCTGGTTAAAATAATTTATCTCCTTTGATTTGTACGTAATGGCAAATAATGAGCACAGGAAATAATGACTTTTTCTCTGCACTCTTAGAATTCAGCTATATTTTGCAGCATTTCTTCAGTGGGGGTGCAGTCAACACTGAATTCTCTCTGCCTTTCGTGGAAGACAAGATTTCCAGTGTTTATCTCAATTTGAAAAATGTTGAACTTGGTAAAAGTTGTTTATTAAGATGGAATCTGTCATTTCCAGAACCATGGCAGAACACATTATTTTGTACATGAACAGCACCTATGTAGTAAATCAGAACTGTGGATATGTGGTATAAACAGTCCTCACTCAGGCTAACTTGGGAAGCAAGAGAAAGAAATTTCTTTTTAAACTTTAAAAATTTCTCAGCCATTCATCTGGATCATACCCAAGAATTCTCTTAATTTTTGCCATTTCCACGAAGCTATGAAGCACCGCAACTAAATAGTTTCGGTCATATGGTTCTACCTTCACACTGCATTGCAAACAACAGCTTTAGTCCCTTCTGAGATTTTTTTTTTTTTTTTGACAGGCAGAGTGGACAGTGAGAGAGAGAGAGAGACAGAGAGAAAGGTCTTCCTTTTTCCATTGGTTCACCCTTGGCCACCGCGGCTGGCGCACCGCGGCCAGCGCACCGAGCTGATCCAAAGCCAGGAGCCAGGTGCTTCTCCTGGTCTCCCATTTGGGTGCAGGGCCCAAGGACTTGGGCCATCCTCCACTGCCTTCCCAGGCCACAGCAGAGAGCTGGAGTGGAAGAGGAGCAGCAGGGACAGAATCCGGTGCCCTGACCGGGACTAGAACCCGGTGTGCCGGTGCTGCAGGAGGAGGATTAGCCTATTGAGCCACGGGGTCAGCCCCCTCCTGAGATTTTAATAGTGCTCTTATTCAGAAGCTAAATCATGAGCATTCACTCAAAACTAAATATACTCCCTTAAGCCAATGACCAATATTTTGCCTATTCAGGAAATAGTAGCAGTTACCATGCTGTAGATCCTTTGTAACACACATGATTTCATGTTTACTTCCTCAAATGGGGAAAATGGCCTGAGACAATGAGTGTCTTTTCTAGGATTGAGGTCCAATGTATTATTATTATTTTTTTTTACTTTGGGTATAGACTTTGTTGGTTCCAATTTAACTGGAGTGCATATGTTTATTAAAGACTTGTACAGCCAATTAGAGAGAGAAAATGGAAACTAGAGCCAGAAACTAAAAGAAAGGGGACCACGAAACAAGGCAATTCAGCCTGATGACTTGGCTGTAAATTTATTCCCTTGTTCTTTCTTCTCAAATACTCAGCACTTAAGAAATATTTATTCAAGGCCTAATATTTCCTAGACAATGTGCTCAATTTTTGTCATATAAGAAATGAAGGGAAATAGATCTTGTTCTCAAAGAATTAATCTTTTGTGAATACAGCAAAGGTATAAATTATTATAATATAATCTGTATTGTAAAACTAGAGAAATATTTATATATATTACAGTACAGCAGTGATGATGAAAATGTATATAGAATTTATGAATGCCAGGTAATCTTCTAAACATTTTATATTCAATCTTCATAATGAAACAAGCATGAGGCCAGTATACAACCATCATTCCCATTTTACAGATTGGAAACTGAGGTTATGTCGGCAGTATCCCTCAGTGGATTTTGGGTCCATTGGGAGGACTTCTCACAGAGGGGAGCCTGAATTCTCTGGGAGAAGAAGTTGACTCACTCCTGAGTTAGTTAACAAGGAGCCGTGTCTGACACACTGAATATAGCAGGTCTTTCCTGAATCATGCCCCATGGAAGGGCGTTTTCAGCCAGAACGTCCAAACTATGACTTGTACTGCCAAAAAAAAGCTGCAGTGGGTGCCAGCCTTGGCATCACATTGCTCTTCCTAGTTATGTGTATGTCATAATCAGTCTCTGATTTGTAAAGTTTATTTCTCAGAGAGTTCACCAGAGGTCGGATTTTCCAGCTTTCTCATCTTAATAGGTAGCAAAGCAGGAAGCATTTACTCAGCATTCCCTGTATCAGAGGCCCAAGGAAGGAGAGGCCCAGAGCTGCACACCGGTCTCCAGGCCCACAGCCCTCAGCCAGGCAGCTTTGGGTCCCCACTGCTTCCTGACTGAGGAAGTCTGACAAACATGCCCTGCGAGTTAGCCAGGAGAAAGATCTTCAAGTTAGTGTAATCTTTTGGGAGAGAAATGTGCCCATATTCTCACGTGAGAAATGACACATGTACAAATATGAATGAATGCTTGTTAATTACAGACAATTTGGGGAAAAGTTGATAAAATTTTCAATATTGAGGGGAAAATAAGTACATTATTTTTATAAAAGTAAATAAATATGCTCATACATATCATGCAGAAGCAGATGTATGAAAAACTGTACAAATGTCTGTGTGTAAATATGTGTGTGTATATATCTGGACACATTACAGATTATAAACTAGCACTTTACTAGTAATGGAACTATGTAATAAAAATTATCTTCTGTGCTTAGCATGCATTGTGTTCATTAGAACAAAATAGCAGAATAACTCTGACGTAGATTAGCATTAGATAGAAAAGAATACACATGAAATAAATTAGAATTTCTCACTTTCTCCTCATGAATTTATTATTTTTTTTAATTAACTGGTCCTTCTCATCCACTTTTCATCTATCCCTTCCCTATACTGGTTAACTCTTCCTCAGCTAATGTTTTCCCTCAGGTCTTTAAAAAGCTATTTATTTATTTTCATTTTATTTGAAAGGCTGAGAGATAGACTCTTCCATCTGCCTGCAACAGCTGGGTCTGGGCCACACTGAAGCCAGGAGCCAGGAACTTGGTCTGGGTCTGCCACATGTGTGGCAGGGACCCAAGGACTTGAGCCATCACCTGCTCCCTCCCAGGGTGTGAGATAGCACGATGCTGGATGGGAAGTGGAACTGGAATTCAAGGCAGGTCCTATGATATGGGACACAGGTGTCCCAAGTGGCATCTTCAGTGCTGCGCCAGATGCCCGCCCTGTCCTTCAGGGTTTTTTTGAGGATTATTGCAGGATTTTTTTTTTCCTTGACCTGACTGGTCTGCGCTATCATCATCGTTTTCACACATCAGAAAGGAACTGAGGCCTCAGACTCAGTGAAGTGCTTTGGCAGGCGCATTGGGTTCCTTTCAGTTTCTTCCAGAGCAGGTCCCGGTGTGACAGAGCTCACACTGAGGCTGGGCCACAGGCATCGGACTTGGCTCCCAGAGTGTCCTCCGATATTTAAAAAGCACGAGATTTTTCACAAGAAGTTCCAGATATGGGGATTCTCTTGAAAAACAGATCTAACAATGTAGAGCTTGAACTCCTTCCAGTGAGCAGCTGGAGCCAGCAGCCATTGTCTTTTATAAATAGACACCGGTTAGCCATGGCTCTCACTACTCCTTGTTTTTCCTTATGCTTGGCTCAGATCCCCTGCCTAAATTTATTTGCACTTTTGTTTGCTATGTCTTTTTGGATAATCCCCATTGTCATCATATATAAGGATGGAAATGAAAGAATTGGTACATGAGTGTTCTCTTTACCATCCTTAGTAACAGCATCTAGATGACAATTGACCTTCTGATTTAGACTATATTTTTGTTGGGCTTCCCTAAAAAGATGAGAGAGACACAGACAGAGAGACAGCAAAAACACCTAACAAAGACATTTATCACAGGAATACAATTGATGTTGAGAAAACCACTAATTGAAAGGATTTGTTTTGCTGGTTTACAGCTCTATCAATGCCTGTACAAAATTACTTCATGTGTATTTAAACAGTTCAATATTTATTCAGTTTGCTGTTTTAAAGTAAATAATTGAGACTTTTATTCCAACTGCTCCTGGAAATTGGAGCAAGAAAATAACGAAATATTAAAGGGAAACCAGCTTCACGAATGTCTAGAAATCAGAAAACAGAAAAGCAGATTAACTGGGAATGCTACAAGGGGGCAGTGATTCTCCAGCCTGTTAGGACACGAGGCATCATCCAATGTGCAATTAAAAAACAAGACCTGTGAGCAGGCGATTCGGGAGAACAAAAGCCTATTAAAGCTCTCCTAAGAGTTCGGTTTCTTGCCAGAAGAGCCATCTGTCAAGAGATTACCGAGAAGGAAATTTCTGCAGGAATTTCCCCCTGGGACCAGATGAAGTGCCAAGAAAAGGTGTGTATGGCATCAGGAGTGAGGACCGACTCAGAGTCCTGAACTTCTCACAGACAGAAAGAGAAGCATCCACCCACTGGTGCTCAGGGAAGAGGCAGAGAGGGAAATCTCTGTATTGCTTCTGATCCGAAAACCAAGGTCGTATTGGAGTTTATGAAAATAATGTCTTTTAAGGTAAGTTAAACTTTGTTGCATTGAAATCTTCAAGTTTTCCATCATTCAAGTATACTGAAGTAACTTATTGATTTTTTTTTTCATACTAAGGGCACTAATGAAAAAGGAGATGGCCAGTTTAGGAGTCAGATTGCAGAAGATGATCAAAAATGCCTGAACAAAGTGGAGTGTCATTTTTTAAACTCATATTTTTGGAGTTTGTGAAAATATACATGGCATTATCTAGATGAAATGTTATCCTATAAACTATTATCATCTATTTCTTCAGAATAAATGCTAGTTAAAATGATGATAAACCCATAAGTGTTTGTCTCTAGAGAATTAAGTTCATTCTATGTGGTGAAATAATTTAAAACTATAGACTTTGAAAGTTACAATAGTTAGTAATGAAGACATATATTTGTAGAGGCCATAGAACCATATCAGGAAAAGCTACTGTAATTTTACACTCCAAATAGATCAAGTCCTTATTTCCTAATCTATGTTCCTATAAAGAACTGCTTAATATTTTTGACAATACATTTATTTCCTATTTCCTTTGGTGATTGATCTTAATTTTTTTAAGCAACAAAGAAATGTTTATTTTAAGGTAAAATAAAAATATCACAAACTTTTTATCATAATTGATATGTAAACATTATGTACTTTTTCTTTCATATTTTTAAGTCAGAAATAGCTGTCTCTTTAATTGCAAGAAAATAAACATGTTAGAAGGTATTTACAAAATTTATTAATTGGCAATTAAGATGAAAACATACTTTAATTCAACTTTATGTTCACTTACTTTTAACTGACAAATAAAATTAGATGTGTTTATCATGTACATGATGCTTTCAAGTATATATGCATCATAGAATGGTTAAATCAAATGTTAATACATCATCACTCATGACCATCATCATGCAATACAATGGATGTCTTGAACTTACTCCTCCTCTCCAGCTGAAATTGCATTTGGACTTGATCAAGTTAGAACCATTCTGTTGAACTCATTGGGTACTTAGGAAAATGGAGATGAGCAGACATAAATATAAGTTCTACATGGGTAAAATGTAATCTTATCTGCTGGGAAAAAGCGAAAGTCAAATAACACAGGGCTAAGTCTCAGTGTTCACAGTGACCTAGTGTTCGTGCTGGCACAGTGCCTGTATCAGATGATTGTGTCTGTAATTGAAGAGAAATTATCCTGTGAATTTAAGTCAAGTTATTCTGTGAATTCAATTAGAGTGGACAATTAATTTTAATAACTCAGGGTTTTGAGCCTTACTTCCTTCCTCTCCTATCAATGAACACTTTTCTCTGAATTATCAGTATATTGTTTAAGTTCTACTTTTGATTTCGTTATTTCCTTCCGTCTTCCATTCACTTGCTTATCCAACCAGTGTTCAGTGAATCATATTCTGCTGGAGGATCCTAGGAGGCCAGGCCTCAGGCAATGAATGCACAGCCCCTGGTCTCAAAGGGCTTGCAGTCCTTTTTACAATGCGCACAAAGTCTTCAGCTCCAAAAGACCATGAAAAGTAAAAATTAAGTCTTATTTCACCTACATGAATTTAAGGTTGACAAAAGTTAGGTGAAAGTGATGGGATGTGTCTGTGCTACCATTATGATTCAAGACTTTTCAGTACTTTGATTTGATTTCCTCTTCAGTATTTTTTAAAATTTGTTTAATTTAGTAAGCTCTGAAGCAAGAATTATTTATTTTGCTCCTGGGTTCTCATTAAATCCAGTTTGTGGTTCTTTAAAAAAACATGGAACAGATTAATTTTTTACAAAGAATTTCTGTGCAATAAATTGTAGATGTAAGTTCTGTTGGAGAGTTACAAATCTACATACATCTTGTGCATGGTCAATCTTATCTCTGCATATATGGATATACCAATAAATATTAAACCTATTGGAAATGAGAAAATAAATTTTTACCTGCTATTGCTGTTACTGTTTCTGAGATCGATTTGGGGTCATGTGCATGTCTAGCATTTTTGGCAACTTTGCAATGTTTTGTGCTGAACAAAAATGATACTTAAGTTTTTGACTTATGGAGTTCTCCTCTGGGATCTTTGCCAGAAATAATGAAGTTCCTGCTTGAATGAGTGGGTCTGGAAACTGTCACCTCAAATAAAATATGTTTATAAGACAGCACTATCTTTGTGTCTTTTCAAAATAGTGAAATATTAAGTTCTTATCAGTATTTTGATAATGTAAAATGCATAGTAATATGAACATGGTATTTTCCCAAAGAGTGGGTTCATAAAAACAGAACAAGTTACAGTCATATCAGTACACTCATATAACTATAAGGAATAAATACTGGAGCAATAAAATAAAGTGATATGAATACACACTTAGCCTAGCAATTAAGATGTCCATGGTCCCACATGGGAATACCTGGGTTTGACTCAGCCCTGACTCCTAACTCCACCTTCCCGTTAATGCAGACTTTAGGAAGCATCAGGTGATGGTTCAAGTAATTGGGCTCCTGCCAGCCATGTGGAAGACTTGAACTGAGTTCCTGGTTTCCAGATTTGGCCCAGCCAAGCTGCAACCATTGTGGATGTTGGGGAGTGACCCAGAAATGGGAGCTCTCTCTGTCCATCTCTTCCTCTGTCTTTCTCTCTCTCTCTGTCCCTGCCTCTAAGAAATAATAGTTTAAAAGTGTAAACTCAAAGAGAGCAATTGACTAATTTTCACTGTTTCTCTTTCAGATGAAGATGAAGTCCATATTAGGCTTCTAATTAAAATTTCATGTTTTTATTCTTTCAGTCAAAAGTTTTGGCTCCCTCTCTCTCCCCTTTCCTCCCTCCTTCCTCCATAATATTTAGAGCAATACAATGTACTCCTGCTATCTAGCTGCACTTTGCTTCCTGTTATCTAACCTCTCTATCCATTCTCAACACTTCCTAGCCAATGGTACCCACTGTTCTACTCTCTACTGTAAGACCAACTGCTTTACCTTCCAGCTGTGAGTGAGAAAATGCCATACTGTGTCCTTCAGCTTTACCCATCTTGCCACAAATGACAAGGATTTCATGCTATTTGGAGATTAATATTCCATTTTGTGCCACATTTTTTTATCCACCCATCAATTACTGAACATTTTCATTGATTGTATGTCTTGGCTATTGTGAACCATGCTGGAATGACCATAGGAGTGTAGGTATCTCCTTGATATAATGATATTCTTTGGATATATATATACCCAGTAGTGGGATTCCAGGATAAGTTGGTTTTCTATTTAGTTTTTGAGGAACATCCATATAATGGCTATACTAATTATTATTTTCACCAAGAATGCATAGCAGTTCCCCTTTTTGCATATCTTTGCTAACATTTCTTATTTTTGTCTTTTTGATGATAACAATTCTAGGTAAGGTGAGATGATAACTCACTGTGGTTTTGATCACTCTGATGGTTAGTAACATCGAGCATTTTGTCATATTTTTTGGCCATTTGCATGTCTTACTTTGAGAAGTGTCTATACAGGTCATTTTCCAATTTGGAGTTTCTTTTTTAAATTTTTCATTTATTTTATTTATTTGAGAGGCAGAGAGACATGGACATACACATACACACACACACATACAGAAACAGAGAGAGAGAGAGAGAGACTTTCCATCTGCTGGTTCACTCCTCAAATGGCTGTGACTGGGCCAGGCTGAGGTCAGGAGCCTAGAACTCCACCCAGGTCTCCCACATGGGTGGCAGGGGTCCCAGAACTTGGGTCATCACCCACTATATTTCTAGGTGTATTAGCAGGGAACTGAACTGGAAGTGGAGGAATTGAAGCTGGAACTTGTACCAGCATAGAGGGCAACTGCTGAATACAGTGTGCCACAATGCCAACCCCTCCCTCGAATTTCTTTATTATAGCCCATGAAATCCCTAATAATAGCCTTTAAAAAAAAAAGGATGTATTTATTTGACAGAGTGACAGAGAGGTGAGAGAGAAATCTTCCACTCACTGGTTCACTCTTCACATGGCTGCAACAGTTGGGATGGGCCGGATCAAAGATAGGAACCTGGAACTCCTTCCAGATCTCCCATATGGGAAGCTGGTGGCCCATGTTCTTGGGGCATCTTCTGCTGCCTTCCCAGGTACATTAATACGGAGCTGGATGCAAAGCAGAGCAGCCTGGACTCAAATCAGTGCTCTTACATGGGATGCTGGCTTTGCAACTGGGAGCTTAACATGCTGCATTATAACACCAGACCCCAGAGTCAGCTCTCTATGGAGCATTTCTTACTGTGCCACTTTCCCAACGTGTCTCTCCACCACCTTTGCTAAAGGCCTACTCCTACTCTATTGCAGCTCTGTTCTTGTACCCCTGCACATTCTCACATCTCTGAATCTTGGCCTGTATTGATCCCTCTGCCTGGAACACCTGTTCTTCCTGCCCACCTATCTCATTTGAATTACCTTCAGTGCTTGGACCAAGCTTCCAACAAGGCTTTTCTGATCTCAACTTCACTCACTCCTCTTGACACCAAGGAGTGTGCATAGGTCTCCCTTGGCTCAAATTCTAGTCTGTCAGCTTGTCATTGCTTTAAGAAAACTGTGAACTCTTTCAAAAGAAGAATGTATCTTTTTAAGTTAGCCTCAAAGTGAGTGTAATTCTTTACCCTCAGAAGGTTCATAATAAGAGTTAATAGATGAATGGGGAGCCGGTGCTGTAGTGTAGTGGGTAAAGCTGCCTGCGGTGCCAGCATCCCATAATGGGCTTGAGTTCGAGTCTCGTCTGCTCCCCTTCCAATCTAGCTCTCTTCTATAGCCTGGGAAAGCAGTGGAAGATGGCCCAAGTCTTTGGGCCCCTGCACCTGCGTAGGAGACCCAAAAGAAACTCCTAGCTCCTGGCTTCAGATTGGCCCAGCTCCGGCCAATGTGGCCATTTGGAGAGTGAACCAGCAGATGTAAGACATCTCTCTCTGTCTCTGCCTTTGCCTCTTTGCAACTCTGACTTTCAAATAAATAAATAAATAAATCTTTAAAATAATAGATCGAT